CAATCCTGAATTATAAATGAAACCCCTGAATTTTAAATCCAAACCCCAAATATTAACTGAACAACCCCAAATTTTAGATCAAAACCCCTGATTTAAACCCTCCCACCGTGGGGTTTGGCCCCACTTTGGGAATTCTGGACTCACCCAGCGCTGCCCTGAGCTCCTCTGGGGAACCAAAGAGAAATGGGGTTATTTTGGGGAAACCCAAGAGAAATGGGGTTATTTGGGGATATTTTTCCTTCAGCTCCACCCCAGAAATGGGAACTGAACCCACCAAGGCTTTTGTCAACTTCCCCTGGAAACAGGGAAGAAAAAAAACCAAAGTTAAAATAATTTAAAATGATTTAAAATAATATTTTTAAATAATTTAAAATAATAATTTAAAATAATAATTTAAAAGTTAAAATAATTTAAAATGATTTAAAATAATATTTTTAAATAATTTAAAATAATAATTTAAAATAATAATTTAAAATAATAATTTAAAATAATTTTAAAACATTTAAAATCATTTAAAATCATTTAAAATAATTTAAAATTATTAGATGGGTTGTGGGATATGATGCTAGTTGTTGTTGTTATTATGGTCCCTAAGATTAGTTTCTGGCCATGAAGAAACTTGGAAAATGGTCAAAAATGTGTTTTTTAAAGGGTTAAAATTGGAAAAATCCAGTAATTTCTTACCAGGTTCTTCCATTATTTTGCCTGGAAAGAGACAAAAATGGGAATTTCCATTGGGATCTGATGATTCCCCAAATTTCCCTCCTCCCCTCCTCAAACCCCCAAACTCTTCCATTTAAAAACAAAACCTTAAAACTGGGGAGAAAGGGGGAAAAGTGGCTTCCTGCTGGAAAATCCAGGGATTTGGGGATTTTCTCTAGGGAGTTTTGCAAAAATCATTTTTTTCCTGGCGATTTCTTGGGGAAACATCCCAAGCTCAGCAGGAAAATGGGGGAAAAAAGCAGGGATTTGGGTGCTGGAGAAGGGAAACACTCACCGGGTTCTCCTGCTTCCTTCTCCTCCTCTTCCTCTTGTTTTAACTCTTCCTCTTCTTGTTTTTCCCTGTCCCCTTCTTCCTCTTCCTCTTCCTCTTCCTCTTCCTCTTCCTCTTCCTCTTCTTGTTTTTCCTCTTCTTCCTCTTCTTTTTCCTCGTCCTCTTCTTCCTCTTCTTCTTCCTCTTCTTTCTCTTCTTCCTTATCCTCTATTTCCTCTTCCTCTTCCTCCTCCTCTTCCTCCTCCTCAGGTTCTTCCTCCATCTCCTGGGGGATTTCCTCTGCAAGGAGTGGAAACCCCGGAATTCCGAGCTTTGGGATTTAAATCCGCTGAAATCCCAATTTTCCTCCCCGTTTTTTGGGGGGCTCCAGGACCCTCCCCGGAGCCTCCTTAGGTTTTAACGATTTAATT